TGTCTGTGACATCCCCCGTAGGTTTCTAAAGAGCGTTTTTGAAGCTTAAGGTTGGAGGATAATCGAAAATGGGCAAAGAGGCTGGAGCTGATTGCTGAAACCACACCCACCTAGCTCGACAGTGGTGACAGCAGTGGCAATCCACCTGTCACTCAAGTGCCCACATCCTTAATCATGCAGAATTTTAATGCTTAATATAATTTAAACGGATGAGTTATAAAAAAAATTCACCCCCTCACAGTTGTCATGAAGGGCAAAATTAGCTATATAGACCAAAATCATTTTTTGAACCAGGCTGTAAACATGTTTTTTTCTGCTGTAAAGTTGGGCATTTTAACATGGGGAGTCTATGGGCTCTATTGACACCCTTTTGCAGCCAGCCTCTAGCGGCCAGTTGACGAATTACAGTTTAAGTCACTTCCGTGTTGGTTTCACGAGAGAGACCGGAAGGTTACTGCTTGGGGCAGCCACACCATCGTTTTTAAAAGTCTCATGCTGCGTCCCAATTCGCCTTCTTATACTATGCCCTAAAAGTATGTACTCTTTTTGCAAAGAAATTGTACATACTTTTTAGTATGTAGCAGAATAGTAAGCAAGCTTTAGGACATACTACTTCATCATAACTGCGTCTTTAATGGACGCTCTGTTGTTTAGTTACATAGGCTACATCCTGCCACCATTTAAACTGCACTGTCACTGAATATCATCTTGTCAAAGGCTACGTTCACACTGTCAATTTTTGGGATTGACAACCGCATTTATTTACAGGTGTGAATCTTGAAATGTCCAGTTCACACAACAACTTACAGTAGCTTCTCGAATACTGTCTGTATGAACGTGCAACAGGAGTCAAGCCCGTATTCCTTACTAGTAACCATAGCGACAGTGACCAAAGTAATATCAAAGATGGCGACGTCCATAAAACTGAAAGACTTATCACTTTATGACAGGACAAGAGTCCAATCGAGCCACAAGTTCATCCGTAAAAATCTTTATTAACCGACAGCAGCTTTTATATTTGGGTGGAGAGTGGAGCATTTGAGTCGCGCGCAGAACACAAAACTGATGCACAGCTCATTTCTCCGTCACTGTAAGTTACTGAAACCACACGAAAACACGCAACACATGGTAGCCACGCGTTTGTGCAGCACAGCGGCTTTCTCTCGCACTGTATGATGTGACAGACAATTAGTTATCCAGTTCCCTCTCGAGCTTTCACGAGATATCACGGAGACATTTCTCCGTTATGGGAACTCCTTCCCTTTCAACCTTTCCTGAAGTCCTATTGGCTCACGCCAGTCCAAATGACTGGCCAAAAGTCGCAAAGTATGCAAATCGCATGCAAATACTGACGCGCTCGAGAGGCAGTATAAAATGCGGTGCATGCGACAATTACGTCAGAATCTTCTCCTTCACTTTGCTGAATAACGTAAGAATATGCCTTATAAACTATTACAGCTCACAGTTAAGGTTCGCTCATCAGAGGGCGGTGCCTGGATTGCCGCTCCTCTGCAGCGTTCAGGTGAGTATGAGATTTTTCTTCAGATGCCAGATGAGTCTGTCTGCCCTCTATCAGCGGTGGACCTTAAGGACTCTGATGATGAGCTCATGCCAACAAAATGTCCGCATTCCTCTCACCCATTGAACCTGCAGGACATCAGCCCGGCTTCTCACGTCCCCCTTCCATGGCGGAGCGGAGAGCCAAGTGCAGATACTGGAGCTAAGGGTTCTCATGTCGCCGCAGATGCCACATGACCCACTGTCTAATAAGTGTGCAGATAAAATAACTGTCTCAGAGCTGCGCTCTGCTGTGTGCAAAGCACAATCACTGGCTCCTCACTCGTTCACACGATACCAGCCCCTCATCAGCGGCTGTCGTGTTTGAAAGACACTGCTCTCTCATTCACATGATACCAGCCCCACGTCAGCGGCTGCCGTGTGTAGAGGACTCCGCTCTCTCACTCATTCAGGGCGATATGCAGCCCCCACTTCAGTTCGGCGACAAGCGCTTCAGTCACTTACCCACTCACCAGCAGTAAAGCAGCAAGGAGTCACCTGATGCCCCTGCTTGGAAAAGCACGTGAAGGTGAGGAGTAACCTGATGCCCCTGCTTGGAAAAGCAAGTGAAGGCAAGGAGTCACCTGATGCAACTGTGCAGAAAAGTGCGCGAAGGCGAGGAGTTACCTGATGCCCCTGCGTGGAACACCAGCTGCTGCCAGGAGCCGGGAAGAGGCGCCACGGCAAGCGGAGGAGTCGTTGTCCTGACAGCCCGGAGAGGAGGGAAGAGTAGCCTACGTGATCGGCCCAGCCCCCAAGCTGTCTCAAAATTGTTCAAATTTGTGTTTGATGTGTGTGTGGGATCATTAAAAATGCATACATGTGCACAAAAGAGCTCTTTCCTCCTCACTCAGTCAATGTAGCGCCGCCCCGCCTCAGAGCGGTGCAGAGCCGCTGCTCACACATTTTATAGCCGCGCAGCACTCGCCGGCGCATCCAACGACCAAGCCGCTAAAGCCGCTATGTCAGTTCCTGAGCGCGTGGAAAACTATTCCGGGAATCTCACGCTGGTTACTTGGTGAGCGTGGGTACGCCCTTGAATTCAGATGCAGACCACCCCGTTTTAATGGCGTGGTGAAGTCTCTAACAAATTGCCTCGAAATGCCCTGGTTCTGAGACAAGAGGTATGCCACCTGCTCGAAAAAGGAGCGGTAGAACGAGTCCCTCCGAGCGAGCTGGAGAGCGGGTTTTACAACCGCCATTTTGTGGTGCCCAAGAGAGATGGAGGACTCCGCCCGATTCTAGATCTCAGGCCCATCAACAGAGCGCTCTGCAAGCGTGCGTTCAGGATGATAAAACGGATCTGTGTACTGGTTGCGTCTGTGAATTTAAAGGACACGTACTTTCACATTCAGATAGCAGTGCATCACAGACGCTTTCTGAGATTTGCTTTCGAGGGCACAGTGTACCATTACTCTGTTCTCCCGTTTGGGCTGGCTTTGGCCCCACGCACTTTCTCGAAGTGCATGGACGCAGCTCTCGCCCCCCTCAGAGTGAACGGGATGCACGTTCTCAATTATTTGGATGACTGGCTGATCTTAGCTCAGTCACGGGACACACTATAGACAGCCATATAGACAAACTGTTTCGTCACTTGGAGTTCTTTGGGCTTTGTGTGAATGTGCGTTAGAGCATTCTCACCCCTAAAGTATCTGAGAGTGTGCTTCGACTCGGTGGAGATGCGCGCTCGCCTCTCTCGGGAGCGCTCTGTGGCCATTTTGTCTTCCCTGCACCATTTCAGACTGGGCAGCTCTGTTCACTTGCTTACCTTGTTGCAGGTGTTTCGAAACACTATGAGTGCGCCAACTTTGGTGAGCAGGGCATCACAGTGGGCTGCTGGGACTTGTACAGACATGATATATCGACTGCCAGTGGATTGACATCACAGATGTTAAACCAGGAAACTACATTCTACAGGTATTCAGTTGTGGTGCTATCTTGTCAAAGAAAGAGTAACCACCTTGGTACTTTGGTAGAAATGTATTTCCCATAGATAGCACACTTATGGGAGAGACTGTTACATGAGCAGACTTTGGTCCCCTGGGCTTTTCAGCAAGTCAAATAGTTGTGAAAGAGCTGTTGTAGTTCTGCTCTCTAGTGGTGGAGATGCGTCACAGCACTCACCATCATGTCCAGGAACGCAAGGGTTAGAAGAGTAATAGGATTTGGTTTGATTAATGATGTAATAAACCTTAAGTACACAGAGGGAGGGTGGAGGTTTTACTGAGAAAGACCCTCCCGGATTAGGATTTACTAATAAAAAGTCCACTTTGTGTCCACACACTTTGCTGATTATGCTCCGTTAGATAGATCAAGTTTGATTACAATTATGCAACCAGGTTTTCCAGTATCAGTTTTATTTTTTTTCTCTGTCTCAGGTCACAATAAACCCCAACTTTGAGGTAGCTGAGAGTGACTTCACCAACAATGCTATGCGGTGCAACTGCAAATACGATGGCAACCGTGTCTGGTTGCATAAATGTCATCTTGGTGAGACGGGCTGTTGTTCGCTGGCTCCTTCAGACCTGCCCGATTTTGAACATTTGATGGGAATAAAATGACATGCTTGCTTAATCAGATATTTTAGATGAGCGCCAAATTTTCTTGATGGTTGCCAATTTCGGCTTAATTTTGTATTATTTGTGCTTCCAGGTGATTCATTCAGTGAGGAGGCTGAGAAAGAGTTTGAACAAGATCTCTTAACATTTTTACGAATTAACCCAGAAACTGCAATAATCACATGGCTCTGGACAAAGAGAAACTTTAATCACTTAACGTTGTGTTTAACTTACTATTTATTCTCAGTTGAATCCATTGCCATGCGGTATACTTTTAGATTAGGTCATCAGAAATTATCATGTAGCCAAGGGCCACAGAGACGGAACAGAGATGTGATTGTGGCCTGGGCTTTTGTCCATGCAAATGTAAGTGGTTGGTTTAGAGGAAGACAATGGCTATACACTTCCTCGTATGAATGCTGAACACCTCAGAGCAGACATTCACGTGAAACACCCGTTCCCTTTTAATGAATTTTTAACATGCGTCAGGGAATTACAAAATGTGATTGCGGATGAAATAGAAAGCTTCTTGTACTTCACAGTATGTGCATTTGTGTATACCTAGGCAGGAATTGTGTGCTCGATGTACCTGTAAATTTGTACATTTCTGGAATGTCCTGTAATCATGTTTGTAAAATATACAAATCTGCACTTTTAAAAACCTTCTTGGTGTCACTTGAATGGTCTTCTCTGCCTGCATTCAGATCTAAACAAGAAAAAACCCTGTATAAAATGCAAAACATCAAGTTTGTTGTTTCTGGGCATTTCTCAAATGAAAGCACTACATTGATACATGACCGTGATTACGCATTGAATGCCAAATAAGACCTAAAAGAGACTGAGAACGTTCTGGCTTTTATTTGAACAAAATCTTGGTTTACCTTTCTAGACATGCATGATAAATGAGCAATTTCCAAAAGTAATTAAATCAGAAACACTTGAACAGATTGAGAAGACTTTCCGGAAGCCCTGCAGACAGTCACAGCTCTCCGCCTCTTTCCGAACCACATCCAAAACGGAGTCAACCAGCTCAGCTCCTTCAGTGTAGTGGCCCTTAGCCCAGTTGTTTCCAGCACCACTCTGGCCTATCAGAGGACAACAAAAAAGGTAGGAAGTTTGGTTGCATCTATGCAAAAGGTAACTAGATCTATATCAGGTCACCAATCTGCCATTCAAATTTGGTTCCGAGCCAGTGCAGGATAATTTTTTTCTTCTAGATCAGATGTCCCAAAATGCCCCAACTAGACAGTTAGCAGCCAAGCGTCGCGTTCAGGTGCATATTAAAACTTACCGAAAACAAAGTTATCTGGTCTGAAGATCTGACCAAATGGACCAGACCTCACAGAGTCCATTGTACCAGGCTCCAAATCAACCAGCACAGCACGTGGAACATACTTTCCACCTTATGACAAAGAGAACAAATTTTAGAACAAATCAAATGCTGTTATGTGCACATGCAAGTTGTCAAGTGAACGAACATTACAGAACACATCAGATTTCTGCTCACCTGAGGCTTCATTATAATAAACATTAATTCTGTCCAGCTGAAGGTCGCTGTCGCCATGGTAACTGCCTGTCGGGTCAATTCCATGCTCGTCACTAATGACTTCCCAGAACTAAAACAAGATGGATTCAAAAGTAGGAACAAGAAAGTTAACTTGAAAGCCATTTCATTTTCATGGACTGAAGTATTACAATGGATTTAGTTCATAAAAGGTAAACAGAAGTGATTAAAATGCAGGCTAATCTAATATTGAATGGCCAGCGCATCCCGTTACTCGCGCTCCATGATTGTAAAATGGAGTTTGCCAAGTCACCGGGGCCATTTTACAGCAACCGGGAGCTTAAAGAAACAGCGCGAGTCACTGTGCCACTAATGTCGCCAATGTAAGCGAATACTGCTCAATGGAGCAAAACGATTCAAATCCCATTTCTGCACGGGGCCTGAGTGCTATTTGCGTGATGATATTAGCGTTCCCGCACTTGAGCTGAACCAGATACGACCGGCCACATTACGACACGCGATTCTTTCAAGCGAATCGACTCGTTTAAACGGTTCGTGACTCGCTTGCATCAACAGTCCTGTACACTCGGGCGAAAACTCCAGCAATTCGGCTCTTCCGAATCATCGAAAAGAACCGATCTGCTTGTGAATGGGTTATTACGCCGGTCCGGCGCAGCCAACACCCTAAAACTAACGCATCGTTTCACCATTACTTCATTCAAATCGGTCTGATTTTTCATAAAAATAAACGTTCCTTTAAAAAAAATAAATCAAGTCAGTTTTCGTCGCTTCTTTAGTTGAAAAAAAAAAAGATCTTATTTAAAAACTTGTTGCGTACGAGATTAATTCAGCACCATATTTAGACAAAAATAGCTCTTAATAGTGGAATTTAAAAACGATAACCAAAGCAGAACGCAGCGTATTAGAAATCGCTTAAACTAGAACAAATTGCGGTTCTAAACACTGCGGCTTTTTTTTTGTAACCCCCCCTCAAGCGAATCGACTCGTTTAAACGGTTCGTGACTCGCTTGCATCAACAGTCCTGTACACTCGGGCGAAAACTCCAGCAATTCGGCTCTTCCGAATCATCGAAAAGAACCGATCTGCTTGTGAATGGGTTATTACGCCGGTCCGGCGCAGCCAACACCCTAAAACTAACGCATCGTTTCACCATTACTTCATTCAAATCGGTCTGATTTTTCATAAAAATAAACGTTCCTTTAAAAAAAATAAATCAAGTCAGTTTTCGTCGCTTCTTTAGTTGAAAAAAAAATCTTATTTAAAAAACTTGTTGCGTACGAGATTAATTCAGCACCATATTTAGACAAAAATAGCTCTTAATAGTGGAATTTAAAAACGATAACCAAAGCAGAACGCAGCGTATTAGAAATCGCTTAAACTAGAACAAATTGCGGTTCTAAACACTGCGGCTTTTTTTTTGTAACCCCCCAAAAAGCCCTAGTTATTTAACAGACTACGATTAAAAATAAAATATATGTTCAGTTCTTACCTTAGCACCAATCTGGTTGCCGCACTGTCCAGCCTGTAAATGCACAATCTCCCTCATCCTTGATTATTTGTTTGTTTATTTATTAACACAAAACACAACCGATACAACCCCTTTGCGCTCAAAATCCTCGACAATGAGCTCGCGTTAGGAGATGTGCTCCTACTTATTCAGTCTGGGGAAATCGCCTACATTTCCATCATTCTCATTGGTTGCTGTAAGCTCTCCCCAGCACTCGCATTGGCTGTTTTGTATGCTCAGTTATGATTGGTTCCTACAGCCGCCGGCATCACTAGAAAGGTTTTATGGCCATTGGCTGGAAGGGCGGTTATAACGGCTCTCGACATTCAAAGCGCTTATCTAAACAAAAAAAAATCAAACGGGGCTGCAGGGATATTTCCCAAAACGTACTTGCTTGTAAAGAACAATAAAATCAGTACTACTGAAGCCATTTTGACAGTTTAACCTTACACTTAGTCTCTCTCATGACCATTACAAGGTGATAATTTATATGGCAGCAATAAAGAAATAAAAATCTAGTAGTTTTAAAGCTTATCTGTTAAGCTAATTTTGTGTAAATGTGTTAAGAAAGCGTACCATAGACAGTACACTCACAGCTTTTTAGCGTTGTGTATCTGGGTGCCCATCATTCATCTGAAAATAAATCTTTCCAAAAAGTGTTTTAAAGCTAAACGCTATATATGGCTATTCAAAGAATTGAACATTCATCTCTCACAACCACATTTTCATTGAAAAAATAAATATTGCATCAATAGGATAAATAAAAGGCAGATGATGTATTAAGAGACACAATGAGAGTAGTCTTTGCATTTCTATATGATTTTTAATGTCTTTAAAAGCTGATATTGCATCAACATGTATCCTTGACAACATAACGTACCTCAAGTTGTGTTTCGGCTCACCTTCATATGTTTCTGATCCCCTATTCTCTACCCAAGGACCTTATAAAAATAATATGAAGTGTGCCAAGGTCACTGGGTCTTAATACAAATTGTTTACCAAAATAATTGTTTTCTGTTGCAGAGAGAAATAATAAAAAGACATGCATGATTGCCATGCAAGAAGATTTACAAAGAAACAAAAACAAGAAAGGAAAAATCCATCCTTCTCTCGGCATGTTTGGTGAACACAAATGTTGTTTCATTCTGGGTCAACTCTATAATTTCTTCTTTGTCTATGCGGATTTTGTGTTAAGCAGCTGTCTTTCCTAAACAATTCCTCAGGTGAGTCTTTGTCCACGGTCATAGATCGTCCACTTTGCTCAGTCCATGTTTTTCAATGTATCGTCTGCGGGTGGGGTGAATAGAAAATAAAATATCAGATTACACAACAAATAAAAATAGAGTGTAACATACCTTTATTTTACAACAAACCTTGTGGATACTGGCATACAATGGATTTCAGGCACAAATATTTTCAAGCACAACGCCACTGTGTGCTAAACATATCATCTAAAATGCAACATTTTAAATATCATTTTAAGGTTTTTAAAACAATTACCTTCTTGCATATTCGTATAAGGCTTCTTTTCTCTCCTGTAGAGACATGTGTCGGTCTATGGGTGTTCTCCCAAAAGATTTGGCAGCTGGCTGTTGAATGAATACACAGACATATCTATATAAATATCTTGTCAGACAAAAGTCTAAGGCGGTACTATTTATAGGTAAATTCACAAATATAGGCCATGGGAGATATTTGTACAGGATAAGTTCAAACCCAAAACACAGAGCCTGTTTATCTGTGGTGCAATAAAGAATATTGCAAATTGTATTTATATATTTTGAGTAATAAATAGATTTTTTAATATGGGACAAGAATTTTGACTAAAGAACGGATTCATTTGCTCCTGCATTTTTCTCAATGGGTGAGGATGTGAGGGTCAGCTGTACCTTTAAATTAGGTGTGGATGCTGTTACAGACAGGGTGGAGGAAGTTGTTTGTTTGGCTGAACCTGAAGGTGTGCCTGCAGCCGCCTCCAAGCTGAACTGGTCTGTATGCTCCAGCAGGTTGGTTATGGTTGTGTCCACACAGTTGGTCTGCACTGTACAGAGACAAAAGCAAACTTAACCAAATCTATTCTGGCTGAAACTGCATTGCTTAAACCCAAGGAATCCCAAGTTTTGCATTAGTAAGCATATGCAGGAGCCACAGAAGTGTATAATGGCACATATGCTTTTTGAAGCAAACAAAGCTAGTCTGTTAATGCAAAGCATTATGGGAGGATGACATACACAGATCTCTGGTGATGACCGATAACGGGACGTCAGGCAGCACCTCTTTCACCTGCTGCGCCATACATGCTACTCGTGAGTCTTCAGCTCCTGCATTTGTGCCCAGGAAACCCTGTGCCACTGTGCGAGGTCTGGCACCCAAATCTGAAGACAAAAATTTAGTTTCATGTTACATTACAATACTAAATGCATCTTCTATATAGATCCAGTGATCTAACTTTATGGATGTATACATCATAATTCCATTTCTCACCATTGAATCCGTTCTTACTTGAATGTGCAGTCTGAGCGGCAGTGTGTCTTTTCCTTTTGATGTGCTCAGCTTTGTCTGCTTTAGTGATCTGTGTGGAGATCACACCCAGCTCGGTGGCCAGCAGCTGACGGAGGGACACAATGGACATTACATCAAACGACACCAAAACAAGTCAAAGCTTTGAACTGGACAAGAAATGGATCTGAAGGTTAGGCAGATGAAAAGGAATGTCAGCGGACCATAAGGTAATGGTTTGTTTGAACATGTTTTTAATGGGAATTCAACCAAGTGTGACATTTGAAAATGGATTCAAATCCATTTCATTTCAAGGCATTTCAGAATGCATTTATTGCTACAGAAGCATGACTCACATACTTTCAACAGGCTATAGGCAGAGGATGGGTAAATGCATTTACATGCACTTCAAATGTTTGTTTCACTAGAACTAATGCAATAATTCTTCTAAGAACGCTTTAGTCCGACTGAAATCGCAGCAGTCTGATTTTTGCGAAATAGGACTAATAGACCTACACTACCATTCAAAAAAGTTGGGGTCAGTTAGATTTCTGAAAGTCTCTTATGCTTACCATCAAGGTAAAATGCAACCGTACAACATCTGATGAATAAAATAACACACAGACTTCACAAAAAAAAAATAGTTTTACCTCTTGTACTTTGCTGGCAAATTCTTGATGGGATTCACCATCTTCTTTAGACAATGGTGGAAGCCATCTGGTTGAGAGCATTTCAAAACAACACCTTACATTTAGTTTTAGACACACTTAACATGAGTGAGAAAGAACATGTTACCCATTCAGAAAGACAAAATGCTTCTGATTCTTCCTTTATTTGCTCAACATTTACAACAAAACATTATCATTAAACACTAGTATCTATTTCCAAATGTCAACATCATATAAAACAAAATATTTGCAATGGTGTGAAAGCATATACTAACCAAATATTCAAAAGTGACAGTAAAAAAATTAATGTATTTAGCAACAGGCAGGTATACACAAAAATTCAAAACTGAAACTGTCGCTCTTATAAGCTGCATACTACCTAAGACTCTTGAGCCTATTAAATTCTAAAAAGCTTAATTATTGTCGTATTACCAGTGCTGGCCTGGCGAGAGCAGCAATAGAGGATTGCACATTTAAAATAAAGCCACTGGACAAAGGAGAGACTGTAATATGTAGTACCTTACATGGTACACTGTGAATGGTACAAAAAAGGTCCATAGCAGCTCTGTCAGCCATGAGGATGCTGGTGTGTTCTGAAAAGAAAAGAAAAAGAAAGAAAGACCTTTTATATCATCCACATGCTAGTGTTTAACAGAACACAGTTATGTGCATGTAGATGACTTGACACTTATTATATACACATACTTTCACATTCACAAATCAACTGACCCTCTAAAGTTGATCAAGATCATTTAGGGCACTTTCACATTAGCACATTTGGTGCACACAGAGTTCTGTACGTTTGGCTAGTGTGAAAGCCATCATGTGAATGCGCACCGGGGTACCGTACCCGAGACTACCTGAAGGAGGTGGTCTGAGTTCAATTGCACTCGAACTATGGCGCGGTTCACGTGAATATGAAAGCAACACGGACTCGGGTGCGAGTAGCAAAGTAACCTGCGCATGCGTTTTTAGCCAATTACAATGTATTTTCTTCAATACAACACATAAATGATGATAGTGTTGCTGATTTACCTTGGATTTGAGCGAGAGTGAAACTGCAGTGTATTCGTGTGTAGCAACTGCAATCAGAACGGCAAATGTGATAATCCGCTGTCTCCTCAAAATAGCTGTCTACATGCGATGCACATACAGTAAACCCATAAGTCGTTTACTCTGCTGCACATAATAGCACCAAATTAATTTACATCCATTTTTTTTCATCTCAGACATACATTGAGAAAGAAATGACACAACCACATTAACATCAGGTTTTGAATGAATATAAACCTGGGTGTCATCTGTGTAAAAGTGAAAGCTGAGACCAAGTAATCTTAAAAGTTGACCAAGAGGATAAATGTAGATACTAAAAAGTAAAGGGCCCAAAATAGATCCTTGAGGAACGCCGGATTACACACCAATATCAGACCTACAACCTCTCACAGCAACAAACTGCTTTCGATCTGAAAGATAGGACTTAAACCAGCTTAGATCAGTATCAGAGACACCAAAGACAGACTCTAAGCGAGTAAGAAAAATTGAGTGATCAACAGTGTCGAAAGTGGCATTGAGATCAAGAAGAATCAAAATAGAAAGACAGCCAGAATCAGAAGCGATTAACAAGTCATTAGTGACCTTAACTAATGCTGTTTCAGCACTGTGGAGTTTATGAAATCTGGATTGAAGGGGCTCAAAAAGATTGTTTTCGGTAAGATGGGAATGCAACTGAGCAGCAGCAATACGCTCTAAAATTTTGTCGAGAAAGGGCAGATTGGAAATGGGACGGAAATTATTAATGTAGAATATGGCACGTTTATTACTACTGTTTTACAATACAATAAAATAAAAACCAAGCAATGACATGACAAACAAAACCAATCAAAAGACTTTAATATACAGCTAAGAAGATTTCGTATTGGGTGGGGTTACCTAGCAGATCAAGACAACATCCTGTCACTTGTTGCTTTCTGTGACTGGTTAAAACAT